TTATTCCTAAATGTCCACATTTCTGGTATCATTTCGCTCTGAAGTCTTAAGATTGCTTTTAGAGCTTACCTGCTGGGGACTAATTTTCCTGCTTTGCCTCTGTATGACAATGTCCTTACCTCTCCCTCTTTCGTGGGGAATGTGCCGCCGTGGAATCCAAGGCTAACAGCCCTCTCCTTTGAGCTCTGTGCCACTGTCTTCTGCCTCTGTGGTTTCTGGTGAGAAATTTATGGCTACTCAATACTTGTTCCCCTGCGTGTAATGTGTCATTTTTCTCTGCATGGTTTTGAGAATTTTCTCTTTATCTTTGGTTTTCCGCAGTTTGAGTGTGATGTGTTTAGGCTTGATTTTCTTTGAGTTTATCCTGTTTGAGGTTTACTGGACTTCTTGAATCTGTAAACTTATATTTTTCAGCAAATTTGGGAAGTTTTCAGCCATTATTTCCTCAAATGCTCTTTCTGTCAACCTTTCACTCCTGTCCCTCTGGGACCCCAACAATGCAGATGTTGGAACTCTCGATGGCATCCTGCAGGCGTCTGGTCTCTGTCTTTGCCAATCTCTTTTTTCCTCTTTGTCACTCATACTGGTCTTCAAGTTCACTCTCCTTCTGTCCGGTACCATTTTCCTAGCAAGCTCATTCGGTGAATTTTTTATATCTGTTATTGTGTTTCTAAATGTAAATACCCATTTACTCTTTTTCATAGTTTTTAAATCTCTGCTGAAAAATTTTCACCTTTGTTTTTGTTTCCAGAGTGCTTTCCTTACTTAATGGAGCATATTTATGGTAGTTGACTTCAATGCTTTATTTGATCATTTCAACATGGTGGTCATCTCAGAGTTGGCATTGTTTATTATCTTTTACCTTACAAGTTCTTGCAGTTTTCTTTGGTATTATTGTTGTTTGGGTACTTTCAGATGGTATTTTACACATTTTCAATATTGCTTAATTCTGGATCCTATGACAATCTTCTCCAACATTGCTCACTTTGTTTTTGCTGGCAGGTCAGCTTGATTAGGGCAGAGCACAAATTCAGACCCACTTCCTGTGGGCTCTGCTTCTCGCATGAGTTTAGTTCTCAGGCTTTGTAGTGCTATTTGGACCCATCTCACACTTGCATGCCCCTGGGTCCAGTCTTCGACCTTGGGAGTGGTCTGCACCATGACTCAATTCTCAAAGCCTTTCCACACATGTCCAACCGAGGGGTGAGTCTGGAACTTGATACAAAGCTTTATGGGATCTCTTTCTTGACCTCCTTCTTATCGCCCACGTGCTCTGGCCTCCAGAGGCCTCCTTCCCTGCTCCTCTGGCCGTCAAGCAGGAGTTGTGACCCTCACCCCCTGCTGCGTATGTCCTGTGCCTGCGTCACTCTGGGCCACAGTGAGGACAGCAGTAGCTTCTGCTGTTATAGCTGATGCTCCCACCTTCCTGGGAGCCCAGGTTTCGGGCAGGAGTTTGCCTCTGGGGCGAGACCGAGATGAAGAAAATGAAGCAGGACATCTTCCCCTCCTCTCTGCACCCATCAAGGCACTGCTTTCCCAGTCCAGGGGCCAGAGAGGAGGGCTTCTCTTGGCCACGTGCACCGTGTTGTTCTGGGGTGCAGAACACCTTGAGCTAAGCCAGGGGTCCTGGGCGGGGGGCAGGACATTCCCCTCCTATCAGCCTTTCATCAGGTTTTGATTTCTCACCCCAACCTGTCGGAAAATTGCTCTATTTTACCCTGTGTGATAGCGTTAGCTGCGACAAGTGGTAGAGACGGGGTGGAGCGTGCCTGCTTTGTCTCAGCCGGGGCTGGAAGCCGCTGGTGGCTTTTTTCTCCTAAATATTCTCCATTTTGTTTTATTTCCTACAGCTTCATTAGGGTAGAATTTACATACCAATATTCACTAATCATAAGTGTATACTGTGATGATTTTAGCAACTTTACGGGGTTGTGAAATCATCACCACAGCTCAATTTTAGCACATTTCCATTACCCCACAGCCTCCTCTAGCTCATGGGTAACCACTCCCTGTCAGTTCCTTTTTAAGAAAATGAAATATCTCAAGACTACAGAAAAGCGTGAAGACCGGCATCACCAACACCCACGTACCCACCATCTGAGTCTGTCAGATCTTAACATTTGGCCTTACTTTGCCCAGTAGTTTTTCTTCTCGAAAATATAAAACTGGGGCACCTGGGTGGCTGAGTCGGTGAAGCTTCTGACTTTGGCTTGGGTCATGATCTTGCGGTCTGTGGGTTCGAGCCCCGCATTGGGCT